GGCTCATTTGTTTATAAACTGACAATCAAAGGCAGACCAACCTTGAGGAGCCCTGAGAGACGCACAAAAAATGCTTTTGTTCTGGAGCTCCGGGAGAAAAGCAAACGTAGACCTTTACTGTATGTGAATGGCATTTCTGTCGGTGGATTTCTGATGACCCTACTTCAGATTTCATGTAAAAAACCTTGGCTATATTCAATGTCTGGGTTTTCATAGTTTATAAATGGAGTTCACTGAAACTAACAGATGTCTCAGGTTTGGGGTATTTTGCTGGGCAGTTTTACTTTGGCGAACAAACAGATGATCTCCGACCAAGTTCCATGGAGCAGAGTAAAATAATCTTACAAATTTGTAAAGTGAGCCGTGTGTTGTCTGATGTAGGATTGTAGCTGATCAGCATTCCTGAGTTCTTTGTTGGATCTTTGGCCAGATGGGAGCCTATGTTGTTGTAAAACCTGTATGTACCTTTTTGAAATGATAGTGCCTGAATCTGCCTTTGCCATGGCGTTAGATCGATTTTACATGTTTCAACTTTGTCAAAACTGCTGTTGTAGTACAACATTGAAAAATCTTTATAATAAAAGCATTATAATGAAATGCCATGAAAACTTGGCCCGTGCAAATCAGCACCAAAACATGAACTCTTGTCTCCAAAAAATCATTCAGTCAGCATAAACTACTCAAGTTTTCCTTTTGCCTCCATGTCAAGTTTTTTATTATTATTATGATTACTGTCTTTAGAATTCCTGCTTTACAAGACATCTGTTTTCAATTCCTACCAGTTCGTTCAATCAGACAACCCAGCCTCCAGTTCAGTGTGGTGAGGTTTTACAAAACCCTTTTTTTATTTGATTGTCATTTAAGGAATACATGTCTATAGAAATCAAATCAAGTTCATCATTTGGTCAACTATTTTTATAAAATGAGTGAAAAAAATCCCAAACAAGTGAGGTACAGTACAGTAAATCTTACGGAAAATTCTGATGGAACAAATTTCAGTGCTGTGTGTGTGTGTTTGCAAGAATTTACAGAAATATGTTAGAATGTTGTCTGCAGTGTTTGTTAAATATCTCACAACCCTCTGGACAGATTTCAATGAAGCTCTCAGAAAGTAATCCTTGAATAAAAATCTGCAACTAATTAATTATTTTAATCAATGCCATTCAAGATGGCTGCCACAGCTAAAAAAAAATCTTAGCAAACACTCCAAAAAAATTGGCTGTTTCGCAAATATCAAGCTAAAATTTGTTGAGACATGATCACTAACTGATCACACAAGAGTCAACTCTGACTGTCTGTTAGCAAAACATCACACGAACCACTGGACAGATTTAAAGGGGCAATATTATGTGTTTCTCAGGCATATATTTAAATTCTATACCATAATAAAGTAACTATGTCACCTTCAGTTGTTATTAAAATGTTGTTTATGTGTTTAAATAGAAAATAAACTTGACTTCTCATCATATCTGTTTCTAAACYCCTTGAAATTGGCCTCTGTCTCTTTAAGAACCACCTTCCGCTTCTGTCCCACCCATTTCAGCACGGCCGGGTGGGTGTGTGCTCTGTGATGAGGAAGCTCATCTTGAAGACACAGCCCAGAGGAGGAGCTGATCCCAAAAGGCGGTTCCAGTCCCAACCAATCYTTTTTGCTCCCCTGCCTGGCTGCCTCAGGACACTGCAGGATTTCTCAAACATGCATGAATGAGTCAAAGTAAGACTCTGGACATGTTTTTTATGAGAGGATAACATTATAATATGATATAAAGCTCACAAAGTTGATTTTACGATATTGCCCCTTTAAATAAAACTCAGAAAACAATCATTGGATGTTCATTTACAACGGATTTATTTCAAGGTGTCCTCATCTTGAGTAACCTGGTTTGGTTTTAAGCTAGCAGTCAAACCTGCTAAAACTGATCGAGTGCAAACGTGAGGGTCAGCTGATGGCAGCCGATCTGTCCTCCCAGGTCTGGTCCTGGTTTCAGTTTTACTGCAGTAACTTCTGTAGCGCTCACTTTGACTCCAGGAATTCACACCACCTCTTTAAGCCWCACAACTCTAACAGTAAATGAGCTAAAACATCTGTCAGCGAGAACACTCAACGGGAGGCAATTAGGGAGTGACCCGCACCTTTGTTTGTTTGTTCTTTTATGGAATGACTGAGTGACTTACACGGTCTGTTGTTTTTAAAAGTTTTGTGTTACATGGAGCATAGCAAAAAAAAAATGTCATTTAGAATCGCACGCCGTTTTTAAGATGATGGCAGTTTAATGTTTCCGAGCGGTTGGACAGGCTACAGACATGACTTAAGCTATAAACTTAAACTGATTTTTTTTCTTTAAGAAAAACAAAAAAAACTTTGCAATCACATGATGAAAGGTCCCAGTGTTCAGTTGTTTAACATTAGCAGCAAAAGTCTGGAATCCAGTTGGTTTAGGATACAAAAGAGGGGGAAAAAGCTACCTGTTTTTTTTTAGAGTGGGAAAAGTAAAAATCAAACAGTCGTTAGTGTCGYATATGATTGGTCTGTGATGGTCCAGCTGCTGTTCCAGAGAAGTTGTTGCTGTTCGTTTTTTGCTGCTCTCTTGTGCGGGGGGTCACCACAGAAAGCAAAGTGGTGCAAAAGATTTGGCAAGTGATTTATGTGGAGTGGCCTTCCTGAAGAAGCCTGGGATCAAACTCAAAGCACCACCAAGCTAGCATAGCCTCTTCTAGGGAGATAAAACTTTTACATACAGTAGATAAAAACTCATTGCTAAACTCCATTGTTGTGTATTATTACATTTTTTGACATAATTTTTTCTACCTGGCAAATAAGTCAATGTTGAATTATGCTGTTGCTGTCGTTCAGCTTTGATCAGCGAATTGAAGAAACAAACAGACCGACTCTGTTTTTTGATACGCTGTAATGAGATCAGTTACGTGTCATATCGCTTAAATCTTCCTGTCATTACACTGCACACGCACATCTGCACGCCGTGCACACAGGCCCCTCCTCGGATCAAAGCGCACACTTAACGAGTCACTTAGCTGTCATTTCCTGTTGATGTTACAAATCAATTAACACTCATTTCCTGTACATCTGAAAGGCCGCTCAGTGCTCTAGTTTGCTTCTTTATTTGTCCGCTGCCTCGTTTGTGGCAGACCACATGCACAGATTAAACAAGGTATAACTGCAGCTCTAATAGAGGATATGAACAACACGTTAAAATGCTGAGAACCCTTAACAAGCGAAGAATGCGCACCAACAAACCTACTGACCAGTTTAGGAGAATCACGCTGCTGTAATGGCAGCAGTAAGGATGTTGGGATATTGTGACCTTAGAAAGCTGGTAAACATTTTAGCCAGTGGTGGGCAGCACTAATCTAAAAATTAGTAAAACACTAACTCAAATATTTAGGTCCCCTAATTCTAAAGCACTAATGCACTGWAAGTTTCAGCAAAAGCTAAGTCTTAAGTACTAAAATAACCCAGTCAAACCATTAACATTCTTCAGCAGATGCCATATTGCTCTCTTAAGACTTATCATTGACATTCCACAGCCTAATMTGGGTTCATATATCWATATGTTACCTAGTGACACACAAATGAACAAAGTGTGCACCAGCTTTCACCCTCYGCTSTTAACATTAATGTTGATCAATAACATTTATAGACCTCAGTTAGTGCTTCTAAATTTAGCCTATAAATTTAGCAAGTGCTAATCCACTAATACATTTTAAAAATTAGCAAAAGCSCTAAAGCACTAATCAGGAAATTAGTTCCCCTATCAGTGCTTTAGGGGGAGTCTGTGCCCACCACAACTTATGCCGACTTTACTCAAATCGGCTATATATTTGATCTAATTGATAGTTCCAAAAAAGGCTTACAGTAGATTTTTTTTATTCCATCTTCAGCTTAGACATATTTAGAGTTGGACAAACTTTCCATAAGTTGTCATAAGTTGTCTAAAATGTTATAGTGTGACAGGGCCTTAGAGATGTGAGCAAATGGTGGCCTTTATTTGGATGCTTTTTTGTGAGCATTGCTGCCAATACACCACTATAGTAAGCAGCAAGGTGAACCTTTTGGTAGTGGGATTATGGTGTTCAGGGAAATAAAATTATCATTTTAAGATCAGCTTTTTGCTACAACTAAAACCTTGAGGGTAGAAGTGTAAAACTAGTGAGTAAAACCAAATCTTCTGAAAGCAAAAACATTCTTGAAAGGCTGCTATCCTTAGCAGCTGGTTCTGTCAGACCAAGCTGGTATGTGACAAATCAGAAAACAGGGTAAAGGGCAAGAAAAATCCAGTTTTATCTACAGTAACATTCTTTTTAAAGTTATAAAATTTGGCTTTCCAAAAGAAAAATCTATGTTCAAACGATCACAGTTCTATAAAAAGATAATATGTGTTGGCCTTCATCATGTGTGATTATAGTCGAAAACTGAAAATAAAACCAAATATAAATTCATATAAATATTTTATTGTCAATGCTATTAGTCATCTCACCCCATAAACAAAATATGAGTGGGCTAAATCACTAAGCTGTACATTCTCTACCTGAATAGACATCTTTCGGTTTTTGTAACATTATTATTTTCATGGCTATCACCAAAACATAAAAAAATCACACATTTGAATATTGCAGTAACAAAATTTGTTTATAATAAAAACCATATAAAATCATATGGTTTGAAAAAAACTAAGGTAGTTTAATAACTTAGACAAATGACTTTTTAGTAAAAAAAAACATGATCAAAAACAGTAAACACACACTTTAAGGTAGGCAATAACACTGATATAAAGTTCAATACAATCAAATGTTCCTGTTAGATTTTCATCATTTCAGTAAGACGTGAACTGTTAGTTCTTAGTAGAACTTAGTTCTTTATTTTCTTTTTTAAAAAATACACTGCATATTTCTTTATATTTTTACATAAACAGCAATGTATTTAGTATTTTTTACGTTATAAAATACATCTATAATATTTAAAAATAATATGTACAATCCCCCATTTTTATGCATGATTTTTTTATTTTTATGAAAGAATAAATTAAGTTTTGTTTGCGAGCAAAAGGAATATACAGTAAGAGTTGATTACACTACATCACTCACTCACTGAAACACACACTGACACACACAAACCCCCCACATATAAACATAAAAACATAATTCAAGTCACGATTATAAAAGACTTTTGATATTCAGCGTTGGTTTTATTGATATTTTTGTTCCTTATTTTTAGTTGGGTGAGATCTCAAATTGTTGCAGGCACCACATGAATCCATCTCGTCTCTTGTGTGTTGAAGCTCCTCTTCCTTTAGTGAAATAAGCAAATCCAAACCTCTATGTTCCATCAAAACATGAATTTTCATGCTCATCCTGGCCTCACTTTGTAAGAAACATGAACAAACTTTCAGTTTCAAGACGACAAATGTTATTCATATAAACATTTGTGGAACGATTTATCAGAGGGCTACATGTGATGCTCACTTTACAGCTTCTTCCTGTGCTGTTTGAAGAAGCCCACCTCATCAGATCTTGTGTCAAATTGTCTTAAACCATCATTTACTTGAGTTTAAACTTAAAAAAAGGGGTTTTTTTCTTGTACCAAACAATGTCCTGCTAGAGGACTGCAGTTCTCATCTGCAGGATCACTGTTAGCAAGGGGGAGAGGAAGATTAGTAAAAAAGATGAGGATGTGGAGCTGGGCGATGCAGACAGTTTATGATGGAGGTTGTAGACTCTGTTTGGTGGCTGCACTGTGATGTAGCCATTGATGATGTGAACCAGTGGCGGAGGTGGAGACTGCATGATGGAACTGTCAAAAGAAGAACAGAAATTGCTTTTTAACAGAAAGTGTGCAGATATTACAGAGTCAAATATATTATTTGGAAAATATAATGGCTTCAGCCTGGGCTAAATTCTTTATATTTTGTTCACAAGGAGCATTCCTTTATGTAATCTTTTGAGGTGCTCCTGATCAATACTTCTTCAAGCTTTCTGGTGGTCTTTTGATGTTTGGGCTGTTTATTTCACTCTTTTTCTGTCTAGCCGTTTTATGTGAAGAAGACAGCAAATCATGCAGTATGTTTCATCAACAAGTGTCTAGTGGAGGATATAAGAGACTTTAAATATCCATCTATTGCAAATAAACAATATTTTAAATGTGGTATAGGCAGTTTAGGCAAGTGATAAGGTCGCCGTTCATCTAGGGGGCTGCACAAATGAGGCATGAAAACATTAAAAATATTTAACCTTTTTATTAGGGTATACGTAGTTGATTTAGTCACTGGTTATTTGGGTTTATGAGATGCAATATATGGTGCAGATYTTATTTTGTGATAAAAAAAAGTCARATGATGCAGTCATGTGTAGTGAAAACCCTAGTTAAAAATCATGAATATGATTTTAATTGTTTCCCTTCCTGGCTCGAGAATGACTAAGTATTGGTTCTGAGTGTGAATAGAAAATTAGGATAATGGAAGTTTAAGTTAAGAGCTCTGATAAAGTCTGGTTTTCAGTGTTCTAACTTGACAAAATATTGGTTTTATGTAAAAGGCTCTTCAAATTGGTGAAAAATGCAGAGTTTTGAGTACCGGTAGATATTTTACAAAATTTTCCAGGGGAGTAAACCCTGGACCCACCTAGAACTGCTTCATTCCACAGTTTAGGTGTTCCTCAATGGTGTCAGCAGATGTTAGCAGGTATATAT